TCACGAATTAATTGGGGTTTTTAGATCCTGAACCTCAAATATTTAATTTTTTTATACGATACCTTTTTTATTCTCTTTTTTTATTGGTAATCTTTTAAAAAATGCTTAACATGTTTGATTAAAATCCTTTATTTCATTTTCTTTTTATTGCATATTGTAATACTGGATTAACCTTTTCAAAAAAGCATTCATAATGCTGAACAGATTTGGGTGATATCAGATTATTTTGCTCTTTATTCATTAAATTTTAAAATAGCTATATAATGTTTAGTATTATGTATCACTTGGAGGAAAAAACTATGTAGATTTAGGCATTGGAACTCACAAAGTTAAATGCAGAGTACATGAAGATTTTAGGTGAGATTATCAATAATGCTTATTTTCTTATGTTTTTTTTTGAACTGAATAATTATTTTTGCTATGCTAAACCATTGTTCTATACAAAAATTTTGTTTATTTTTCTGAAATAAATATATAAATAATAAATAAATATTTTTTTCAATATAGTTTTATAAGTTATGGTAAAGGTTTTATTATATTCTTGGTGATTTACTTAAAATTTAGACTTATAGTGATTGCAGATAAAGAAAATGTGTACAAAACATTTCCAATACCTTTGATAAACAGATTAGAGAAGCATTTTTTAACTGTGGTTACTGGAATGGAATATTCTCAAAAAGAACTAGCAGAGAAACTTAAAAAATGGGCATCAGACTTTTCTAGCATAAACTCATCAATGTAAAGTTTCACTGTTTTGTCAATTTTCTTTTAATTATTTAAAATTCAATAAAGATATATTATTTTTATACTTTTGTATAATTTTTTTTTAAATTTATTTTATATAAATTTATTTAAAGTAAACTATTTTCTTTTAAAGTAAATAATTTGTTTATAATAAATTTTTTCAATCGATTAATTTACTAAATAAAAATTTTATTTGTTAATTTTAATATTTTAATATCATTTAATTTATAATATTATATATATATATATATATATATATATATATATATATATATATATATATATATATATATACATATATATATACATATATATATACATATATATATATATATATATATATATATATATATATATATATATATATATATATATATATATATATATATATATATATATATATATATATATATATATATATATATATAATATATATATGTATATGTATATATATATATATATATATATACATATACATATATATATATATACATACAAATATATATACATATATATACATATACATATATATATATATATATATATATACATATAAATATATATACATATATATATACATATACATATATATATATATATATATATATATATATATATATATATATATATATATATATATATATATATATATATATATATATATATATATATATATATATATATATATATATATATATATATATACATTGTGATGAAATGATGAAGTGCCGTGGCACTTCATCATTTAACATTTCTGTTCATAAGGCCAAAAACAATCAAATTAACACTTAAGTTTAATTAAATATATTTTATAATTGTTAAATTTATAGAGTTAATTTACAAATTTATACTAGCCAAGAGTTTCTTTAACTATGTGTTACGCAGATAATACAAGTATGTTGCAAACCATTAAAAAAAGGTTTGCTTTGTGTTTTCATGCTTGTAAACTCATTTTATATGCCTTCATAACTTAGTTTCCTTGCAATCTTGTTCTCAAGCAACAGCATTGCTAAGGATGACAAATGTTCATCAACTATTGTTAACCTATTTAAAAATACAAAGAAATATAGCTACATGTATAATGAAACAAGATTATTTTTACTAACCTATGAAAAGTTTTATTAAATTCTAACTTGCTGAAGCTATGTTCTGCATTTGCAACAGTTATTGGTAAAGTAAGAATGATTCATAACGCATTAACTAGATTAAGATAAGTTTCTTGCAGCTCTTCATTGTAGATAGAGTTTAGGAAGTTGTGTGCAAATTTTAGGAGAGTGTTTATTTCCTCCTTAGTAACTATGAAAAATTGTTTTAACTCCATTTCCAAATCCTCAGAATCTATCTGTTCATTTGCAAACTTTTGCAATATGCAGACAGAGAATTTTCATTACAGGCTTTGATAAGACTCTCAAATTGGTAAAGAAAATTAAAAAGCTTTGTGGCAATCTTGATCTTTCCAAAACGCTCTTTTATCGATGCAGTTGACATATCAATTGGTGGCAAAAAAAAAAATCAGCTTTATACTGATGTTCCGGTTGCCGAGTGTGATTAACACACTCGTATGAGTTATTCAATTTTTGTTTCATGAAAGCATTATCAAAAAAACTTTTTCAATGCCTAATACTTCTGTGATTTCTGATGCCTTAAAATGTGCATTGGTAAATCCATTTTCATAATACTGATAAAGAAATGCATTTGTTGCCTTTATTTCACTAGCCAATATGTTGAGAGAGGTTGCAGAAGACTGAAGAAGCTTACTTGATTTATTAAAATAAAATGTCATACCAAATAATGATTGATTATAAGAAAAGCCATGTTCTAATATATTCCAACAAGCGTAATTCTGTAGCTGTTACCCTATCTCTCTTTTCTAAGGCATGTTCTTCCAATCTGTTCAGTGCCTCCAAGAATTCTTTTAAACAATAGCAAAGTGGTTTAAGACAGTTAATTATACTTTCCCAATTAGTATCTGATTGTGGTCTGACAGATATTGCCACCCACACTTTTATAATTTCCTATTGAGGAGGAGACAATTGTGTATGAGTGTATATAATCTTGAAAGAGCACCAAAAAAAGAAATTAGACTGATGGATGGCAGAGCACCATCAACAATAACAAGATTGAGTGAATGGTTTGTACAAGGAACATATAAGGCATTAGGATTCATTTCAAGAAACCTTGCTTGAACACCTTTCACTTTTCTTTTATATTTGCACCATTATCATAAGAGTGACCTCAACAATTTAAAATATTTAGATCCCAATTTTTTGCCTGATTTAACAGCGCAACCAAAAGCTATTTTTCAGTGGTACCATTTATTGTGAGATATGCAAAGAAATGTTCAGAAATGTTGATACTTACTCCAGGAATACATGTTACTGATTGCAGAATAATGCTCTTTTGTTCTTTGTGCAAAACCTCTGGCATATAATCTAAAAAAAATAGTATTTTGGCTTTTTTACCATAGATAGTTTTTTGGATTCATCCTCCTTGGCTAAAAGTCTAATCAATTTGTTCTGTGTGTCATTGCTCAAATAGTGCTCCTTGGTTTCTTTGTCCTAAATTCTTTGCATAAGCTTATTGAGAACAGTATCATACTTAACCAGTAATTTAAACATCCCAAGAAAGTTTCCATTGCTCTTTGAACCAATGGCTGTGTCTGAACCACAGGATGCAAGATTTCTTGCAGAAAGAAATAAGATAATGTCCAGTATCTTTTCTAACACAACCCTCAAAAATATCTGCTTTTTATGAAGCAACTTTTGTTGTTGCTTGTCTATAGTAGCTTGATTTGTTGTCTGCATTATCAAAATAAGGAAAAAAAAAGTAACAAAGCAATAAATTAAAAGAAATATTAGTTAACCTTTTTGTAATGTTATACAGTGTTCAAAGCACTTGAAATGTGCACTGCATGTTTCATGTCCTTTAAGTTTTTTTGATAAGCCTTCTCAAGCATTCATTCTGTGGTGAAAAAGTTATCCCAAAAAGTTTGAAACAAAAACAAAACACTTTATTGCTATTCAAAAAATGCTATGTCGCTTAAAGATTTCTCCATTCTTTATCTTGGGGTTATAATAATTCAGTGAAAATTGTCTTTTTTTTTAATTCTATGGAAAATTTAATTTAAATCTTTTTGAAACCACGTTTAACAATGTCACAATTAGCGTTTAACAATGAACTGCTGGTTTTAAAAAATGTGTTAGTTTGAGGTAATTTGTGAATTCCTATTGCGCTGCAGTTTTTCTCTTCTCTTAGTGGTACCACTTTTCACTTTTTTCATACCATTAATTGTATTGTGAAAAACTAATAATGAAAAATAATTATGAATTTTCGCAAATCTTCTTTCATTGTTTGTTTTTTATAATATAATAAACTAACAATGCATAATAAAAAAAAAAAACAGTTCAAAAATGCATAATAAAATTTCATATTATTATGCATTTTTATGACTGTGGACTTATAACCATATGGACCTTAAAAGAAAAAAATGTAAAACCTTACAGTTTTCCAATGCTTTGCATTTGTTTCTTTAAAAACAATGCCTATGTTTTAATTAAAACAAATAATATGCTTTTTTCATAGTACTTAAGCAAAAGTTATAACATATAGCATAGTAATAAAATAAATTATTACCAAAAAAAAATTGTAAATTGCAGTAAATAAAAAACAAATTTTTATAAAGTTTGTGCTTTATAAAAAACTTATACTTTGGGAGTATTAAACAATTTTTTTTGATTTGAAAATATTATTGCTTTTTTTTTACATTTTTTTTCTGCTTGCATAATTTAGTTAAAATTAATATTAATACTCCAGTTAATGATTAATTTGCATAGATACTGGCTATAACAAGTGTAACTGACTAAAATAGAGTGGTTTAACGTGTGATTGGCTATATATGTGTTAACTTAATGTGTTTAGTGATGATTATTAGTTAACTAACATCAAATTAAATAGTTTTAAATTTTTGATTTGGTATCGCATAAATCAGGTAATATATTTAATTTGAATTTATAAAGTTTTTTCCAAATTTTAATTTTATATTATTTAAGTTTGATATATTTTAATTAATTTAATTAAAATGTTGAAAATTATATCTTATATAAACAACAACATGACTATGCAGTAGCTAAGTTGCGAGCCATGGGCTATGTGGTAGCTATGTAGTACCTATATAGCAGATAAGGTAATTCTGTATAATAGCTATGTTTTGAACTATGTAGTACTTATTACATTAATATCCTGGTAAAACTATGTATTATCTGGATATCAATGTATCTTTAAGTGCTGATTAAATTGAGATTGGCAATCCCATTAAAAGAAACAACTTTCCTATTCAGTTTTTGAACTACTTTATTCCTACAGTTTTGCCACTTCACTTGTTTAAAGTTTAAAATTGGTTGTGTAATTATGTTATTCAGAAATTTATCAAAACTTGCAATGCAATGGTACTCAATGAAAGTTTGTACTCTTCAAAACTTTATTGATAGCAGTTGTTTCTGGTGATAAACGGGTATTTGTTTATAGAGTTCCGTTGACTCAGATTTTTTTTTTCTGTAAACTTATAAGGCCAAACGTTTGATGGAGTTTGTGTATATAAAAAAAGTCAGGTTTTTCTCATCATCAAATGTTGCGTGTTAAAGGTTAAAAATTGTTGTTAAACATTCAAGAAATGATAGGCAATAAATGTTGTACAAATATTATTGTCTTTAGATTTTCCATATCAAAAATTCATAGTTTTCATATATATATATATATATATATATATATATATATATATATATATATATATATATATATATATATATATATATATATATATATATATATATATATATATCTATATATATATATATATGTATATATATATATATATATATATATATATATATATATATATATATATATATATATTTATATATATATATATATATATATATATATATATATATATATATATATATGTATATATATGTGTATATATATATATATATATATATATCTATATATATATATATATATATATATATATATATATGTATATATATATATGTACATATATATATATATATATATATATATATATATATATGTATATATGTATATATATATATATATATATATATATATATATGTACATATATATATATATATATATATATATATATATATATATATATATATATATATATATATATATATATATATATATGTATATATATATATATATATATATTTATATATATACACATATATATATATATACATATATATATATATATATATACACATATATATATATATACATATATATATATATATATATATATATATATATATATATATATATATATATATATATATATATATATATATATATATATATATATATGTATATATACATATATATATGTATATATATATATATATATATATATATGTATATATATATATATATATATATATATTTGCCGAAGAGCATGGAACTTGAAGTTTCATGCTCTTCGGCAATCATCAGCCATATTTTATTCTTTAAATTAAGAAAAAACTGTTAAAAAATACAAAATACAGAAATTAACAGAAAAAACCCATAACAAAGCAATGGAATGAGTTCTGACGTAAAAACAAACAATTTTTTAATTATTTAGAAAATTTCTCAATCACCCCTGTCGAATAGGGTGAGAAGGAACTTGTTTCGATGCCTGCACTTGGATCTCATTTCAATTTTTTTGTTTAGCAGATTTTTATTTTTTGAAAATAGAATTTCATTTTTTTCGTATGTGCATAGTTTGCAGGACTTCGTGGCTGGGTTGTAAGCATTGCACTGCTTAATTATTATCCTTTTGACAACTGGGTTTAAGTTAGCATCTTTTAATTTCCAAAATTCTTTTGATAATTTGGTGTCATTTTTGCATTTTAAAATGTTAAATGATTTTATATGGTTGGCATATCTAGTTTTGAATGGTGTTTCACTTATACCTATGTAGGATTTGTTGACAGGAGTGTTAGTAGGATTATTGGAACTCATATTGGCTTGGTGTACAATTTTTTTTGTTAAGCATTGGTTTGATAAAGGGCAGGTATTTTTATTAAGGCAATTGCAGTTGTTTTTAGGTAGAATTTTGTTGTTGTTCATAATTTGTTGATTGTGTGCATTTAAAAAAGATTTCATTTTCGGCATACAGCTATAACTTATTTTTTTCGTGTTTCTGTTAAAAATTTTGTGGAGTCTGTGATTTATTGGGAAATGTTTGTTGATTAAGGTTAAAAAGCTTTTCAACGCAATTCATTTTGCTGCTCAGCAAAATGAATTGCGTTGTTAAGAAATTTTTCAGATATCAAAGGGTAAAAATCAACAATATCAAAAATAAGGAGTTTATAAAGGCGTTTATCGCTGATGCAATTAAACCAGTTTGTGGTATCTTGGGTTTTTTTCCACTGATTGAGATGAAGTTTCTTTACAAGTTCAGAGTTTATATTAGAAAGTATCACTTTACTAATTCTGCCGATTTCATTTTTGGCAGGGTTTAATAAACGGACAGTTGGATTATTTGTATTTGGATTTTTTTTATGATCTTTTAATTTTATAAAACAATTTGAAGATGTATTAATGTCGGTTTTATTGAAAACGTTGTGATTTTTTAATATCTGTTTACCTTCTTTATTTATTTGATTTTTTATTTTTGTATTCAATTTTTTGTATGTTGAGGTATATATATATATATATATATATATATATATATATATATATATATATATATATATATATATATATATATATATATATATATATATATATATATATATATATATATATATATGTATATATATATATATATATATGTATATATATATATATATAATTAAAAAATATATGCATATATATATATATATTTTTTCATTTATATATGTATATATATATATATATATATATATATATATATATATATATATATATATATATATATATATATATATATATATATATATATATATATACCCATATAGTGTAGCTTTAAGAGCATTTTAATGTAAAAAAAGTCTCTTACGACTACAATTTTAATTACCTCGTCTCTTAAGCTGTTTTTGATTGTCATCGAAATGTCAAAGCAATTAATTTATGCGGAAGTACATTAAATTTAATTGTTTTTTAAAAAATTTTTCAAAAACCGCAATTATAACGACTAGAAAGTTTTTTTTAATTAGTGGTGTTTTTGTTATTGATTTAATAAAAAACGTTTTTAAAACATGCGTAAATGTTGCTACATCAACTATCTTATAGCCTGACTCGCAACGGAGTGCTGCTACATCGACTGACAAATAGCCTGACTTGCAACGGAGTGCTGCTACATCGACTGACAAATAGCCTGACTCGCAAGGGAATGCTGCTACATCGACTGACAAATAGTCTGACTCGCAAGGGAGTGCTGCTACAACGACTGACAAATAGCCTGACTCGCAAGAGAGTGCTGCTACATCGACTGAGGGTTTGGTTTGGCCAGGCAGTCTATCAATTAAAAAAAAAAAATTAATTTTTAAAACTTTTTCTGGTCTGGTTTATTAACGCGCTCTTTAAAACTACAGTTTATGGGAAACATTTTTTGATGCCACGCAAGAGACATGCAAGAGTATATATTTATATATATATATATATATATATATATATATTTATATATATTTATATATATATATATATATATATATATATATATATATATATATATACGTATATATATATATATATAATATATATATATATATATATATATATATATATATATGTATATATATATATATATGTATATATATATATATATATATATGTATATATATATATATATATATGTATATATATATATATATACATATATATATTGAGAGAGAGAGAGAGAGTATAATAAAGTAGTATAAAATAATATAAAGTAGTATAGAGTATAATATATGTATAAAATAAAAAGTAATATAAAGTAGTATAAAATAACAATAATTAAGAGTATAAAAAAGAGAGAGTATAATAAAGTAAAAAATATATTAAACCATTTATATAGTTTTATAAAATTTTTATTTAGACATGAGTTCCAACCATCAGATTCATTTATTGGATACAGTGAAAATAGTTGCGCTTTTATTGTAGTTAAACTTTATCAAAAGTATGTAAGGTATGGTGAGGTTGACCCTGATAAAATTAGTGAGGTTGACCAAGACATGGTAATTTTAGAAAATTTTTACCTAAATTTAAATGCAATGATATTAATACATTTTTTGTTATTTCAATAAAATAATTTTATTTATTGCTAAATTCTGTCTTATAGATTTTTGAAGAATGTTGTCAAGCTTTGTTAAAACTAGCTACTCCTGATTCTTTATTGCGTGTTGTGAAAACATGTTTAAAAGATCAATTTAAGAAATATTGGCGCATTTACTTTGTTGAGCAATATCATCACTCTTTAGCAGAATATATTAGCAATGAACTTGATAATGTAGATAATAAATTTATGCAGGTATTATAATTTTTTATTATTGTTATTATTATTATTATTTTATTTTTTAAAAGTGATTATAAATCTTTAAATTAAATTATGTTATATTTTTAAAAGAAATTTATTAATTATAATTTATTAATTTATTTTACAATAACATAAATTATTATTTAAAATAAATTATTTTTATTTGAACATATTTTTATTAATATTTTTTGTGTTTTATAATGTTATAGGTTACAACCTTTTCACGACTTTTATCTCCAACTGACAAAGAGAGTTTAAGCAATGAGTTAAATGATTTTGAAATTAAGATGATTTCTCTTATGCAGTTTCAAACAGAAAAATCATTCAGGGATTCTCTACAGTAAATTTGTACTTTAATGATAATTATTGAAATATTGGGTTACATATAAAAATATGCAATAAATTAAAAAAAAATTACACTATGAATAAATAGGTTTGATAAATTAAATAAGTTTGTTAATTGCTCATAAAAAATTAGTTTTTTATATTTTAACTTATGGATGTGTTTATTCTAAAACTAATATTTTAAAAATGTCTTATAAATAAAATGTTACTATTGTAAAACTTTTTACAAATTTTTTTAAAATTAAATTTTAAAGTCCATTGATTGTACAACACCGTTAAAAATAATTGTTCAACTTTAAATATGTAAAAACAAATTTTATAAACTCATGTGTCATGCACAATGCACCACGATCCAATTTATTTCTGTACACCACTAACAATTTTATATTTGGTGTTGTTTTACTTAAATATAAAAACATCAAATAAATTTTAAAGCAAATTTTCACAGTTACTAAGTTTCTTTTAATGGTTTTTATGATATATTAGGCGTGTTTAATTAAAACAAAAAACATTAGCAATACTCCTAAGTTTTCAATAGTTAAGAAGAAATTAAAAGAATATTTTTCTATGAAAATGCAAAATTTTTATTTATATTTTTAGCAATTTGTGCAACTCTGAAAGTAATAAGAAAAGGATTCTTATCATTCAAGCAAATAATGCACAGGAAAAGAGTAAGTTAATTGCATGTGCACAATATATTTGTAGAGACTTACAAGAGCAGTTCAAATTTAAAAAAATATCTATTTTATTTATTCTACAACTTAACTATAAGTCTAAGCGCTTAGACTTACTGAGCTCATTATCATTCTGGGATTGCTGCCATATTGACGAGTTACGTAGCTCAAACTTGCCTAATCTTATTAAATATTGTGGAAAATCTCTGAAAGAAATAATTAACCTTGATGACGTAAAACCAAAAATGGTTCAATTGATACTAGGATGTGTACAAATGACTATACAACATCTGAGTAAAATTAAGCAAATGACTATTGAAGAAATATCAAAGCGAATTGATATTATTACAAATCTTTTAACAAGTAAACCGAATGGTAAGTGAATTTTTTCTGGATTCATTAAACTAAAGTTTCATTTGAAAAAACCTAATCTTTTGTTGAACGAAATTAATTTTTTTTTTTTTTTGAACAAAATTATATTTTCTAATTATTGTGCTATTTATATTTATTGGTACTATAAACTTTTTAATTTTATAATTAAAAATATATCTATGATATATTTTTAAAAGTAAAACAAGAAATTAAAGATATATCTAAATATATCTTTAATTTCTTGTTTTACTTTTAAATACAAGTAATTATTCATCTTTTTTAAATATAAATATTGTTTATACTAGCTTTAGATATTTTCTTACCTATATTTAGGTATAAAAAATAAATATTAATGAATATATTAAAGCCATCTTGTTAAAAAATTGTTTTAAAAGCTAAAAACAAACAAATAATTGTGCTGTTTTTTATATTTTTATTGAAAAAAAAAAAAATATTATTAATTGTAACCCCATCACATCCAATTTTTTTTATGCCATGGAGTTGATTAATTAAAATAAATCTATTTTTAAAAGCTTTATGTTTTTTTTTTTGTTTTATAGATATTCGATACATGTTTATTACAACTATATTGCAGCTGGTAGAGACTGGTTTAGCTGCAGAAGAAACCAAATGGCATCCTGATTATGTTACAAATTGGATTCAAAATGAAGCAATAGAACAAATATACCAGCCATTATATGGAACTTTTATACATGCATTGTTGTGTTATGTGGAAGATCGCATAGTGCCCGTTTTCACTTCCATTGTTTTTAGTATAGATAGATTTCATAATCTTGAAATTTTTGACAACGAACCAGAATATACAAAGCTGTGGCTGGAACTGTTTTCTAAGTCCACTTTTATTTCTAATATTACACCCAATAAGTTATTGGATTCATATTTTCATTGCAAGTTTCCATTTTCAGACAGAGTTCTTAAAGAAATAGATAGTGCATTGGAAAATTGTATACAGCTAGGTTCAAAATTTTTTTAAGTTATAATGACTTTTAAAAATAAACATATATATATATATATATATATATATATATATATATATATATATATATATATATATATATATATATATATATATATATACTTAGTATATATATATATATATATATATATATATATATATATATATATATATATATATATATATATATATATACATATATATATATATGTATATATATATATATAAGTATATATATAAGTATATATATATATATATATACAATGACTTTTAAACATAAACATATATATATATATATATTATATATATATATATATATATATATATATATATATATATATATATATATATATAATTATATATATATATATATTCTAAAACTAATATTTTAAAACTTTCTGAAGCGTATTTTTATAAGCATTTGCTCACTTTTTTTACTTACATTTATCCATACGGCTTTTTTTTATAAAAGAAGAAAAAAAATGAAGAATGATGAATGAAACGATTGCTGCCCCATCCCAAACCCTCAGTCAATGTAGCAGCACTCCACTGCGAGTCAGGCTATTTGTCAGTCGATGTATGTACTGAAGCCCCAAGTAGCAGGTTATTTCAGTATGACGTCAAATTGTATATATATATATATATATATATATATATATATATATATATATACATACTAGAAAATCTGCTTCTCTTGGCTTCACTTTCCGACAACCCAAATCATTTACCATTTTTACTTGACTTATGTCTTGTTTCTGATCCTAGTCAGTGCTTAAATTCTCCACATTCACCCTTTAGGTACTTCTGATAACGGTTTGATCTCTTTAAAACTATTATTCTATTTTTCTTCATCAGAGTTTCTCTATCATGTACCACTTACAGCTACCTTAAAGCTGACTAGGACTCTTTCCGTGTTTTAATTTGTGATAGCCCTTGAGTAAAAATCTTTTGTCTTTCTGCTGAAAAATGTGCTTCTTATATAACTTCTTGGATTCAGGCTTGCATGGAATCTTTTATTCCCTCTTGACGATTCCAAGTCAAGCCTCTTCTCCATACTTTTTCTCTCATTTGCTTTTTCAATTGCTACTGCAATTTTCTATTGTAACTATTACCTTTATTTATCACCAAAACAGTTCTTTAAAAACAGACATCTGTTTACTATTGCTAGAAACCATTGTAAAAAGGTTTTGTCTAACGCCAAAGGCCATTATTCTCAGGTCACAAAACTTTGTATTTCATTTCAAAAATTAGGCTCCAGAGACTTCTGAATAATCTTTAGCCGTATCTATAATAAGGGCAAATCTGTTATTCCACTTCTCTTGCATAATTCAGATTTTGTTAACTCACCTAAAAGCTAAACTGTATGTTAAGAACTTTTTTATTAATTTTATTTCTTGATTCCTCTAATCACATCTTACCTGATAAAGCCAACAAACAAATTGATCTATTGCTTAATATTCATATCACTTCAGGTTCTGTACCTTAAGTGATTTCCTGCTTGGACACTTCTACAGCTTGTGGTCCAAACAGCATACCTGTTATAGTCTTGCAGAAGTATTCTCTGGAGTTATCGTCTATACTTTCAAAACTATTTAACAAGTACTATCAGTCGTGTTTTCTAGTCTGCATTTGAAAAGGGTCTCACTTCTGCAACAACATGGGACTCACAATGGTTGGTGAACTTTAATTCAGATAAAACCCAAATTTTTCAGCCAATCATTATCACAATAGTTTAGATCTTCCTATATTTATGAGTGGTAATGTACTCAAAGAGTCTTATCATGCTTAACACTTTCTTACATGTCTATCTAAAACACAAAGTAGCATTAATGAAGTTCACTGCAAAACTGGTTTTGTAATGTTACCAGTTTCTTCTTATCTGTTAACTTGATTAATCAAGTAAATTTTATATCATAAAATTTTACTAAATTTTAAATTATGCTTCAACAGTAGTAACAGTCTTTTTATAAATACTAGATTTTGTAAAATAATTATAATCAGGAGTGTAAAGCCATAAAAAAAAAGTACCTCCGACTCCAATTGCTGAAATTTTCAGAGTACAACTCCAACTCCAAAACAAAATATTTGAAAAATTCTTTAAAAAATATTACTTGATAATTAAAAGAATATTTTTATGAAAAATTTTTTAAGGCTAAATATTTTGCACATGCACGTGCAATACCGAAAAGTTTTACAATTGGAGTCAGAGTTGCAATTTTGACTCCGACTCCATGTCTCAAACTCCCACTCCACAGCCCAGATAATAATATAGCAATTATTACATGTCTATAAATGTGCTTTGCTTTATAAGTTTTTTATGGAAACTTAACTAAAAATGGAACGAAGATTTATATAAATTCTAAAAAACTACTAATAATTTAGGTAATGAAATGAAAAATTGACCATCTGATGAAGCCTCTATTTAATTTATTTAAAATATTAAAATTCAAATTATAAGAGCAAACAATTTTGTAATAAGTAAGAAAATCATATAAATTATTCATACCATCAAATAAAAATAAAAACTCTTTATTTGTAATTTCATGAAAACTATTAATTAAAGTGTTACATATGTCAGCAGCTTATTGTCATTATGTAAATATAAAAAAACAAACTTTATTCAAACTGCAACTTAATAACAACTTAGCAACTAATCAAACAAATTTTATTTTTCAATTATGTTGTTATTGAAAACATATTTTTTTTAACCCCCTACTATCTTTAAATTAGCTAAAGACAGCATGTAGCAAGTTCAAATCATTAGCTTGCTTTTTTAAAAAAATTTTGTTACTTTATATGCAAAACAAAACAACTTTTTAGTTTTATAGATTTTAAATTCTATATATTTATACATGTTATATATCCATTTTTTTTGCACGAACTCAACTTAGTTGTAGGAAACTTAAAATGTAAAACTGAAATAACATAAGTATCTCTATCATGATATATATGCACAAATTTCTCCCGGTGTTTTGATGTTTTTAGAAATTTTAAATTTTTTTTGAAAAATCTCTCCCTATTGTTTGATAAATAAATGTTTTATTTTGTATTTTAGAAAAATCAAAAAAAACTTTTAAAAAAAAATAAATAGCAGTGGTAGGAATCGAATGCCGCAATGCAATTTTCAAGTAAAACTATAAAACTTGATATATGTATTATTATGTTTTAACATAATAGAGCATATATCAAAACATTTTTAACATTACATATAAGTTAGATATAATTGCATAGACTTTTGTTTACTTTTCATTTAAAAAAAAAGTCCAGACTCTTTATTGCCATAAAATCGGGTGTAAAGGCTGCTATGATTTCCATCTCAAAAATGCTCGAATGAATACTATAAAGTTGCTCAATATATAATATGATAAATTCAAAAAAGTTGAAAAAGTTATAATAGTTAACTTTAATTACTAAAAATCTAATGATGCATTCAATATTTTTTAACGTTTCTCTAAGTAATGAAATTTTTTGAATTTTTCAGATATCTTTTGCATCTTTTTTGATCCAGAATGGTCTACAGAAGCTCAAACGAATTAAGATCTGGCTGTTGAGTCAGCTTTTCAAGTAACTCATTCTGCTTTTAGATAAAAATCTTTTACTTTATTTGACATATGCTTAGGGTCGTTGTCTTATGGAAGATAAATTGTTTTCCCAATTTTTAATTGATAGAAGATTTTATTAAGAATTTTGATATATATCTCAGAGTCGATAATTCCATCAATAAAATCCAGCTTTCCTGTTCTGTTTCAAGCGATTGTTCCCCAGACCATAACATTTTTTCCACAAAATTTTACTGCTCCTTGAATGCAACTGAGTTTAAATGCTTTATCTTTTTTGTTCATACTTTTAGAGCTCCATCTGACTTCACAAGTCAGATGGAGCTTTGGCTGATTTTTGACTGGCACAATATTAATCTTTGGCTGATTTTGATCTGACTTCACAATATTAGCTTTGGCTGATTTTTGACTGGCACAATATTAGCTTTGGCTGATTTTGATCTGACTTCACAATATTAGCTTTGGCTGATTTTTGACTGGCACAATATTAATCTTTGGCTGATTTTGATCTGACTTCACAATATTAAACTTTGGCTGACTTCACAATATTAAACTTTAGCTGATTTTTTAGATTTTAGCTGATTTTTTTACATATTTAAACGTTTTGTACATTTTAATCAGATTGCTGATGGTTCTTATTGCCATTCCAGTTGCTTTTTTTAGCAACCTAAATGTTTTACTTTGCTTGAACAACTCAATAGCCAAATTGCAATGAGCTTGTGACCATTCCTTGATTTTGACTCCTATACCTGATGATATTAATGATAAAACAAATGAATTTGAAAAGTTAATTATTAACCCTTACTCATTATCATACAAAAAATTGTTTTTAAACCATTAATTTGAAATTTTTTAATAATCACTTCGAAATCTTTGTTTACAAAACAATTGTTTTATTAATTGTTTTTTGTGAGGTTTTAACATTTTTTAATTAGTTGTTAAATTTTAACAATGTAAGTTAGTTGGCCTTTTTTTTGGCCATATAAAATTATGAATAAATTTTTAGGCCATATAAAATTATGAATAAATTTTTAGGCCATATAAAATTATGAATAAATTTTTAGGCCATATAAAATTATAAATAAATTTTTAGGCCATATAAAATTATGAATAAATTTTTAGGCCATATAAAATTATGATTACATTTTCTTACAAAATAATTATAACAGCATTTATCAAATTCATATTTTTTTCTAAAACTATTTTTCGCAATAAAAGTTTTTATTTATTTTGCTCTGACTGTATTAAAACTTAATATTATTTACCATTTAACTTTTATAAATATAAATTATATTTTAACTCATATACTGAAATCAACTTTTGGTGATAGAACAGTATTATTATTTTATCTAATATATATATATATATATATATATATATATATATATATATATATATATATATATAATTTCATAATTGAATTTGTTTAAAACCCAAATATAATAGATTTTATACTTTAAATACATTCAGTAAAGCAATTATACATCATAATTATATCATACCTTATATCTTATACATACTACTTTTTTATAATATAAATAATATAATTATAATATTTTTAAAACCTTTAAAACAAACTTTTTTTATTTATTATTTATTTATTCTTATAATTATTATATACTATAAAACAATTGTTTAAAGTATAAGTAAATAAAAAGTAGTATGTATAAAATATAATTATTTATAATTACATCATAATTATATCATATGTATAAGCAATTATACATCATTATTAATACACCATAGGTTGCATCATAAAGCTAACTTCTCTATATGAGTTTTTTTGATTCTAATTATAGTAATTAAATCAAAAATTTACATTTAAGGTAACTATTTATAGATAAAACACAATGTATAATAAAAATTTACTGAGTGATTTTTTACTAATTTATAGATGCTCTTTTCTTTTAAGAATGTTAGGATAAGGCATTATATTAATAAGTAAAAAATAAAAAGGACTGGGATGAGAACGGAGTTCTATTTATGGGAAAAAGTACAGATGTAAAAGAGAGACTCTTAAATCAAATAGGAAAAGTTTAATAGTGTTTTAAAACATTTTTAGTCACTCTTTAATATAATCTCTTTTTTTACCTGACTTTTCTGTTTATATTTTAAAGAGAAAAAAGTTACAAATAGTGTTTAATCAGTGTATTTAAAAAAAAATTAAAAAAATTAATAGTAATAGCTAATAATTAAAATCTATTTTAATATTACTTTTTTTAAATATTTTTTATATCAAGACGCAACACATGAAACACATGATTACAAGCATATTTATAACACAGTTGCATCATTACCAATGGCAAGTCTGGTAATGGGGTTAACAAATGGAGAAGTAGATAGCTATATATTTGACTTGCTGCGTTTAAAGTATCCTGAACATTTGCAAAGTTTTGAGCTAAGCCAATGTTCTTATAAAGTAATTTCTTCATATTTCTTTGTACTTTAATAAAAAAAGTTTACAAAAGGAAAACTAATAATCTGATATTTTTAAAATATATTTAGATTTTAGCAGATGGTTTGATTTCTTTTACAAAATTTGTTAATGTTTCAAGAAATAAATATTTTAATACTTGTGGTATAGAACCAAATAGCATATTTAAGCACACCGACTTTGATATAGTGTCTATACACATTGCTTTAAACACTAAATTATTTAAAGAAAGACTCAAAAATATTTCTATGATGCTTATCTTACAACCAAAGTTGAGAGAAACTGCATTTGTACAAGATTCAGAAATAGTAAGATTTTTTTGAAATTTTTTCAATAAACTTTTTATAAAACTTCTACAATAGCATAAAGTTCTACAATAGCATAATTTTTGTTTCCAACTATTTTATCATTAAGTATGGTAGTTGTAAAGTGGTAGCTTCAAAAGTGAGAAGCGCAAAGTTCAGTTCCCTTTCATATCCCATATATATTAAGGACAAAGGTGTTTATTTTTCAAATTATTTTCTATTGTATGTATGTATTTTTAATTTTATTTGTCATAAGAAAATGACTTCAAATTCAAACATACTATGATTTGTAAAATGAACATCATTATCCTTTAATATATAAATTTCTAAAATAAATGCTTTGTATGTGTGCACAGACCTAGCTCCAGATATTTGGAAGCTCTAGGCTCAAGCCCTAGTCCAGGTATTTTGCAGGCAATTTTATAAAAAAATATTTATTTTCATTGTTTTAAAATAAAACTCAAGTTATTAAATAATTTAGATTTTACAACTCTGAATAAAAAATGTCAAACTTTAATAATAATTTAGTTTTCTGGGAATGAGTTTAAATTACATTTTTTCTTGCTTTCATGTTTGCATGTTCATCAATTAATGCTAAATAGTCAAGGTCAGAAGCATTTTTGATAGAAACTTGTGCTAATCCAAAAAGTCATTTTTATGTCATTGTTGAGCTTGGGTATGTCTTGATTAGTTTTAATTTAGACATAATTACGTTTCAAATTATAAATAACAGTAAAAAAGATCACAAAGCAGTCGCAGTATTTCGAAACACATCTTACAATCTGCTGTTATATATAAACCTTATAACTTCAAAAAGAATTATTTTTTATCTTTTTTTTAATCTTCGTTATCTGTGACACATGTGCTAATGACTTAGTTTCAATAAATAAATTAAATTCTTTAATGTCAGATTTGGATTGAGTTTCAAGTTAATGCAAATCATCAGACACAGAGTCAAAAAGTATCAAACTTTGCTTCACAGAGTGATTTTGCAGGTTTTCATAAGAACAAAATTTTAGAACTGAAGTGTTAAATAAAAAGCCAAAAGATGATTTATAATAAGTTAACTGTTCTGTTTTTTTTTTGCTATCATTTATTGGTTCATCTTCATAAGAAAATAAATTTTTCAGCTTATTTTCTGAAGATATTTCTAATTTCTGCTAATTCTTTCGTTGATATTTTTGAACCATGGAATCCAAATTTTTTAAATAACAGTTATAAATAATTGTTTATTTCGATTTTATCACTTTGGATGATTTTGTTAAAAAAATTCACTTGAAATAAAATGTCAAACAAAGTAATTAAAAAAAGTAAAATCTTGAATTGCTTTTGTAATAAAAATTGTCAGTTTCGGTAACTTTAACTGATTCATTGAAGATATTGTCTAGCCAACTTTAACTAAAATTAAACTCAATTTTTTTCAGCTAATCATAATTGCAATATATTGCAATAATGATAAACTGAAAAAAATTGCAATATATCTTCCTATATTTATGAATGGTAATGTACTCGATGAGTTATCTATCCTTCATTTCTAAGATTAACTCTTACTTCCGATCTTTCTTGGAAACCATATTTCAAATTCATTTCAAAATTCGCATCTGCTAAGGTTGCATCTCTTTATTGTGCCCACCACTTTCTTATTCCGTATTCTATTTTTTATCTGTCCTTGTATGGAATACTGTTGCCATAGGCGAGATGATAAAATCCATAACGATCTTCGAATGATACCTTTTCTATTTTATTTCTATTAAACTTAATAGAAGTTTAATAGAAATAAAATAGAAAAGGTATCATTAGTTTTTTTCTATTAAACTTATGAAATACTTTACAACCTACCAAGGTTTTTAAAATTAGTAATCCTAGACAGCTGCCAAGTTTGCTTTAGTATAAAAACCAGACCTGTGTATATATATAAAATTGTATATATAACAAGTATATATATAACTTGAATATATCAAGACATAATATTAATTCTTTATAACATTTAAGGATATAGATGTTCATTTAATGAACCATTTTCTATCTCATCTTGCTTCTAAACGCTTCTGTCCTGGTGTCATAGAGGAAATTAGAAAGATTAAAGTGTTGTTCACTGATGTTCTCAATTCCGCAATTAAAAGTAATTGTAATGTTGCAACAAAAGAAATGGTGAATAAATTACAGTAAGTTTATTTTTTAATTTACTTTTTACAATCATTATGTAAAGATAAGTTTTTTGTTTAATTTAAAATTTAAAAGTTATTTAATACTCATTTCAAATTGCATACTCGTTGCACACTGACACTCATTGCAATATTCCAATTCGAAACTTTTAATATTCAAATAATTTTTAGTCTTTAAAAGATTTTAATATATAAAAATTTATTTTACATTGCACAGTCATTGCACATTAACACTCATTACAATTTTATAACTTTTAACATTTAATATGTATTCAATATTTGTTAAATATTTAATGATATTTGTAATGACTTAATATTCTCAATATTTATATAATTTATATTAGGCAATATTAGTTTAAGTTATTTTGTAATTTAATTTTAGTATTTTTTCTATTTTTTTGTATTTTTTTTTTGCAATTTAGAATTCGTTGGTGCAGTTTTCGAATTTGTCAAAAGTTTTCAGATCTTGTGTTTCATACTTCTACTTGTTTTTGCGATCATCAAATTAATTTATTGAGATTACTGTGGAAGGTGCGTTTGTTAATTTTTTTTTTAAATCACTATTTTTTTTTGTATAAACTTGCATAGGTATATAAGCAGTGATAGGAATTAGTTGGTTTACATCAGTTCTAGTAATCCATTTCTTAGAAAATTTTAAATGGTTATAGGTTATGCTGTATGCACCACTGCATCTTATCATTTTTCTTTATTCTTTTTTTTGCAATTGATTATGATAGTGAATTCTATAACAATTTAAAAAATATAAATTGTGGCAGTAATTTTAAAAAAATCATTTAAAAAGTTTTTATTATTAGCAATATTATTTCTATTAGAAATTGCTTCTTTTTTTTTTTTTTGAGTGTTTGCAGACTGATTTTTAACTATTTTGAGAGTATAAAGTGTTTATATATATATATATATATATATCAGTATCTAACGTCAAGTTTATGTCAGACGATATCATGAGTTCCTAATCTCCAGAATCGAATTGTGAAAGTTTGTGGTTTTCGAATTGTAAAAATTGTGGTTTGTTTGATGTAACCATGGGTGCATTTGATGGTGCGGAGGTTTGTGAACTAGTTGGAGTTTTCCTTCTTTTCCAAATTTCCCAATTTTATAGCAAGCATGATTTGGGGTTGTATAGAGATGATGGCTTAACTGTGTTCAAAAATGCAAGCAATTCTAAAATGGAGAAAATTAAGAAACATTTCATACAAGTATTTAAGCAAAACAGCCTTAGTATTTCTATCCAATCTAATATAAAAATTGTTAACTACCTAGATGTAACATTGAACCTTAACAACAGTAGTTTCCAACCATACCACAAACCTGATAGTACATTAAATTAAATCCACGCTAGTTCCAACCATCCACCTAATATTTTAAAACAGTTACCAGTTTCAATTGAGCGTAGGTTATCAACCAATTCTTCTTGCAAAATAATTTTTAAAAAAACTGCCCCTATTTATAAAGATGCATTAGAAAAGTCTGGATTTAGAAACAACATAAAATAGCATCCATATTTAGGCCCAAATAATACTAATAAGCAAAAGAGAAGCATCGTATGGTTTAATCCTCCGTTTAGCAAAAACTTTGTCACCAAAATAGGACAACTTTTTTTTAAGTTAATTGACTTGCATTTTCCTTTTCATCATAAGTTCCACAAGATATTTAACAGAAATACAATCAAAATTAGTTGCATGCAGAGTGTTGGATCAATGATTAATTTACACAACCAAAAAATATTATGCAACAAACCCACTGCTAGTGTCACGAACTGCAACCATATTAAAAAACCTTCATGCCCTTTAAATAATCAATGCTTATCTAAAAATGTTGTGTATAAAGCCAAAGCTCATTCAAACTTTGGTTTGCAAACCATTTAAAATCATTTAATGCTACTAGATATAAAAACAATACAGATGAATGATTGCCAAATGGCATGAAACTAATAGTTCCATAAAAGTTGTATTTTTTTCATTTAACATATATAAATATAATTTGATCTATTTTACAAACAAATATTGAGCTATATTTTTAACAGAATACTATACCTATCAACAATTAAATATATATACAATATGTATATATATATACATATATATATATATATATATATATATATATATATATATATATATATATATATATATATATATATATATATATATATATATATATATATATATATACTATATTAAATGGTATTTTGTATTTGTAAATAAAATACAAAAACTTGTAAATAAATTTGTAAATAAAATTTGTAAATAAAATACAAAATTTTTTTTTTTAGTAAGTTTTTGAGCTATTTTTTTTTCTTATTTTGTTTTTTTCTTTTAAAATTTTCTTTCCTTCTTACTATTTTTCTTCTTCTAAATACACATTAATATTCATTACCCTATACTATATTATAATATATTATATCAACTTAAGTCAATCGCTTCGAACTAACTATATAGTAACTAAATATATAGTGTTTTTATTTTTATTTTATTTTTATTGCTCGTATCTATATTTATATATAAATATACGACTATATTATAAATAAACCTTTATTATTCGAAGATTTGATTTGCGCTTATATTATTTAAGTAACAAGTTTTTAACTTGTTTTTTGAAAACCTATTTAAATTATTTCATTTTTATTTTATTTTAAAAGTTTTTCAACTTTCTTCGTAGTTTTTTTTTATAGTTGCGTTGCACCTGATTCTTAATCTGTTTGTTGTTTTCGGATTAATTTTTGAACATAAAAATAATTTGTGTGTGTGATTGTGACAAACGTTAATAATATATATAATTATATATACGGAAAAACTGTTGTTATATATAAATACATATAAGTATTGTTTATATATATACAAAAATATATATAAAATATCCTTTTAACTATCCACCAACTTAATAACCAAATTTGTTATCCAACCACAACACTTATTCGAAGCATAAACCTCAAATCCAATATTCAGTCATCTAATAAGATCCTCAACATTCCAAAATGTCCGCCAACAAATTGTATGAAACATCGTCCATTTCACCTTCTTTAAACCCAATAGACCTGCTTGAAAATTGGCCGGGTCCTGGAAAAGGCAAGGCTGCTTATTTACCTAAAAGATGTGACGCCATGATCCGCTCTCTAGCTAGAACAGTCAAATTACTGCTTGAAAAAGTAGCAGCCCTTGAAAAAACCAACACCAACTTGCAAATACAACTCACTAACTGCCAACCACCGGCAGTTTATTCTTCCGTTTCTCAACCAATCCTAAAATCTTTTGCTTCGCAATTTACCAAACCCGGATCAGCCACAAACAATGCCATCTTAAATGCCGTAAACATAAACGCCAAGCTTCAACAGTCAAAAGCTAAGAGAGCCATAATCATCGAAATTCTCAACGCAGCCAGTACCGATGCTTCCGTCGTCGATCAATCGGTAAAGGATATATTACAATACGTACATTACTCTGCTTCCTTTAAAGTTGTAGGACGCATTCCTGCTGCTATTTCTAACAAAAATAACAAATTGCCGCCAAACATTAGCATTTATACTTCTTCTACTGTCACTGCCCCCACTCAACCAGCTCCACCATCTCTTATCATCGAATTCCCAACCAATGAAACTCGCAACGGTCTTCTAGCAATCGCCAAAAACTTTGCCACCATTGAATCATACAAAAGTGTCTTCATACGGCCAGACAGAACTCCTTCAGTGCAAGATCTTTTTAACAAGTTGGACAACGAAAAGTTTAAGCTCAACAATGGCCTTAAAGCAAACGGTAAACTTGATCAGCCCTTTCGTTTTGTCATCCGCAGCGACAGAGTCAAAAGCATCGACATTAGCAAAAAAGTCAACATCAATGGCTTGGAAAAATACCCGTTCATCAACTGGAAAAGAGCGCTCGCGGCGGCCCAAACCAACCAATGAGAAGTCGCAACATTCAACTCATGACTGTTTTCATATAATTAAAAATTTGTCTTCTCCCACTTCACAAAGCAATGCTTCTAAATTTTTACTAAACTGCTTCTATGCAAACGCCACATCTCTAAATCCTAATAAACTCACTGAACTTGAATTAGCAACGTCCCTCTATGATTATGACACCATTTTTATCACTGAAACATGGTTTAATGAATCCTCAGCACCAGCTATTCCCAACTACAATCTCTTTAGAAAAGATCACTCTAGTCGTGGAGGAGGAGTAGCCATATATGTCAAGAACAGCATTATTGCCAACGAAATTGACTACTCTCAACTTCACATCGGTTTCCAATGCAATTTCTCAGAACAGATCTGGCTCGAACTTAAACTCCCACAAGAATCTCTCCTAATCGGCTGCATCTATCGCCCACCTACCAATAATGTTTTGGTCTTTAACGAAATAGTAAAAGCTATCTCCTACGCGAAATCGGCTGTAGAAAACAAAAAGTTTAATGGTCTAATAATCACCGGTGACTTCAACTTTCCCGACGTCATATGGCACGACGACTGGACCAATACCACCGGCGCTGAAACTAGTTTTGGCACTAAATTTGCCAAAACCATTTTTGACCTACATCTACACCAGCACGTTATCAATCCCACCTTCATCCAAGCCAACGGTCTGTTCAAAAATACACTAGACCTTGTAATTACCAAAACAACCAAACGATTAACCCATATTACTATCGGTCCTCCTCTTGGTAGCGCCTCGCAAGGTCACTGCACTATGACATGGCAACACCAGCTAGCCAAAAACGTCTGCAACTCTCCCCGTTTTAACATCTCAAAATTTATATACCGGAGAGGTAATTATGCTAATCTAAACGAGAAACTCTCCCAAGTTGATTGGGTTAGTTTATTTAAAGACCGATATGCCGACGAATGTTATCAAATATTCTGCGACAACTATATCAAATTATGTGACAAATTTATTCCGCGTGTCACCTCTAAATTGGCCAAACACAGGCAGCCTTGGCTAACCAGCAAACTTTTTTTACTAATTAAACGTAAGAAAAAACTTTGGTACCTCAACCGCAACAGCAAATGGCGAATCATTCCTCTTGTCAAAGAGTATAACCAAACTCGAAACCTTGTCAAAAAAACTTCCTGCACTGCAATTAGAGCATTTGAACACAAATTAGCTAGCGACAAATGGAACCCTAAGCGTCTATACGCTTATGTAAACAACAAGCGCGCCGTCAGTAACCAGATAACTTCTATGTCCTCACCCGCTGGGGAAATAAGTAGTGACCACGCATCCATAGCCAATATACTTAACAGCCAGTTCCAGTCAGTATTCACAATCAAACCATCAGATCAACAACTATCTCCCTTTGTTAAACGTACAACCGCCTTAATCTCCTCCGTCATCTTCAGCTATGATTCCGTTCACAAACACCTATCTGCTCTCAACGCCAATAAATCAACTGGAGGTGACGGTATCAGTCCATTTGTGCTTAAAGCATGCGCTGATGCGGCGGCTACCCCGCTTGCCATCATTTTTCAGAAATCGATGGATCAAGGTGTAGTCCCAAAAGTGTGGCTCTCGACAAACGTGACGCCACTGTTCAAAAAAGGCTCCAGACTCGACCCAGAAAACTATAGGCCTATCTCCATCGCCTCAGTACCATGCAAAATAATGGAAAAAATTGTTAAAGAAAAGATCATGCAGCACCTTGTAGCTCATAAACTTATTGCCGATTGCCAGCACGGCTTCGTCAATAAAAAAACCTGCGTCACGAATCTGCTTGAGGCCATGGACTTTCTGACCTACAACGTTTCTTGCAAGCTTCCTGTAGATGTTCTTTTTCTTGACTTCGCCAAAGCCTTTGATAAAGTCCCTCATAGAAGATTACTTCAAAAACTTGAATGCTACGGAATCGAAGGTAACGTTCTTAACTGGATAAAAGCTTTCCTTTCAAATAGATCACAGCATGTCATATTAGGTAATACGTCATCCACCTGGGTAAAGATTACCAGTGGCGTTCCACAAGGTTCAGTGCTAGGTCCTACGCTGTTCATAATATTTATTAATGACTTACCCGAACACATCAATAGCGAAAACTTATGTAAAATGTATGCAGACGATACTAAAATCCTGAGTGTCGTCAAAACCACTGAAGACAAAGCTCGTCTGCAATTCGATATAGATAGCGTTGTTACCTGGACTCGAACCTGGTTAATGGAACTCAACATCAAGAAATGCAAAGTCATGCATTTCAGTAAGTACAATGTTTCCCCACACATTTATTTAATGAACGAGTACGACGCTAACGGTAGCGTCACTAGAACAGTAATCGAGTCTTCAACATCCAAAAAAGATCTAGGCGTTCAAATTTCCAACGACTTAAAATACGAGAGGCAAGCACAAATAGCTGCTGCCAAGGCTAATAAAGTCCTTGGGACATTGAAAAACACGTTTATAAGCAGAGATACCAAAATATGGAAAAAACTTTACACCACTTATATACGCCCACATCTCGAGTTTGCAGTTACTGCCTGGTGCCCGCATCTTGAAAAAGACATAAATGTCATAGAACGTGTTCAGCACTGGGTTACCAAAGTACCGCACAAAATAAAGCGCTTCGATTACGAGACAAGATGCATCAAACTCGGTCTCACTATTAAATAGACGTTTACGCGGCGACCTCATTCAAAAATATATATTCGAAAACAGTATCAACTCAATTAGCTGGTATATAGATCCACCTAACATCCCACCTAGCTACGGTCATCGCAAGCGTTTTCATTGTGAAATGGACAACAACTGCCTCGTTCGCTATAATTCCTTCAACAACCGCGTCGCTCACCCATGGAACGCATTACCTAACGTAGTAGTTGGTGCTACCAGTATCGATCGCTTCAAAGCAAAATTCGATCAGCTTTAATAATTACTACAGCGCATCATCTTCCGTGCAATTTCGCACGAGCTAGCACGGCTAGCTGTTGATGGGCTTACGAAACACGCCCGCTCCGTGTAATTTAACTTTAACTTAACTAATAACTTAAAACAAAATGTAATACAAAAACATCACCAATGTTTTGTTATAATTCTAGCATTATAACAAAACAGATTTTGGCTTATATGGACACAATGGGTTAGCAGTTTTAAAAATGCAATTGGCCACCACATGGATGCAATAAAAAAACATATTATTCAAATTTTTAAAAATAGAAATTTTTCTATCTCTATACAATGTAACATAAAAGTTGTAAACTTTCTTGACGTGACACTGAACCTCAATGATCAATCTTTCAGACCGTTTTGTAAACCAAGTGATGAACTAAGTTATATACATGTTGAATTCCTTGTTCTATAAAATTAAGGCTGTCAGCTAACTCATTTAATGAAAATATTTTTCAAAACTCATCTGATGTGTATCAAGTTGCATTAAAAAAGTCTGGTTACAAATTCAAACTTAACTATATTTTAAAACTTATCCAACCTCTATCGTAAGCCTAGTATAATCTGGTTTAACCTTTCCCCCCCCCCCTCATATAATAAAAATGTTTCTATCAAAATTGGTAAACCCTTTTTGAGTTTAACTAATAAACACTTCCCAGCTGGCCATATATACCACAAGATTTTTAACAGAAATACTCTAAAGGTGTATGCCAAACATCAAATCAGTAGTTAACTTTCATAACCATCATATAATGAAAAACAACACTTCTAAATCTAATAAACATTGCAATAGTATTATTAAAAGCAAGTACCTTTTAAATCAAAAACGCCTTGTAAATAACTTAATGTATCAAGCCACTTTATACCCAGGCACTCCGGACAGAAATAAAAAAGTTTATTTTGGAGTGAGCAAAACTGCATTCAAACTTAGATACGTTAACCATGCAAAATCTTTTAATATTAAAAAATATAAAAACGACACTAAATTATCTAAGAGAGTATGGAGGTTAAAAGAAAAGAGTAAGCTAGAAAATTAAATTTTTAAATTGTAAAACTTTGTAGATCTTACTATCCCACAGTAAAACGTTGCAGCTTTTGTTTATTTGAGAATAATCTCATAATATCTCACACCAATGATAACTTATTAAATAAGAGGAATGAATTAGTTTCTAAATGTAAACATAAAAGCAAACTTCTTCTTTCAAAGTTTGATTCAAGTGATTAGGCAGCTGTTTAAAGTTTTTTCTTCTTTTCTTTTTTCTTTCTGTTGTCTGTTGTTATGACAACGGAGCACACTTTATTGTAACTCTTTGATTTTGTATTACATGACCGATGATTGTCTTTAGGCATGTATATAGCATATAAATATATGTGTATATATATATATATATATATATATATATATATATATATATATATATATATATATATATATATATATATATATATATATGTATATATATATATATATATATATATATATATATATATATATATGTATATATATATGTATATATATATATATATATATGTATATATATATATATATATATATATATATATATATATATATATATATATATATATATATATATATATATATATGTATATATATATATATATATATATATATGTATATATATATATATATATATATATATATATATATATATATATATATATATATATATATATATATATATATATATATATATATATATATATATATATATATTACTTTAAGAGTAACAAAGTTGGCCAGGTCAATTTTAGGATCATCACAACCACCATGCGACTGATATGATGTAATCCATTACTACTTGCTTTATTTCCTTCTGATTTTTTAGTTTTTTTAAGCAAAAGCTTTGAGATATAAACTCTGACTTAAATTTGCCCTTGTCTTGGGACTCTTGGTTAATTTTTCATAAAATGTTTTCAAAACAGCAGAAAGATATCTTTAACCTTATAAGTGGTAACCTAAAAATAACTAACGACAAAATAAACGAGTTACTAGATGAAATACATAAATCAAAACAAATTTGGGACTCATTAAAAAAAGAAAACGAAAAGGTAAACGTCAAACTTGAAGAAATTACAGATAGAGTAGTAGTAATAGTATGTCAAACATGTTAGTGCTTTCTATAAAAAGAGTGCTTAATGTTCTCAAAGAACAGAGCTGTAATAATTCAGTAAAAAATTTCTCACTTTTTTCTTCTTCTACCAGATTCTCTATTTCAATTAAAGTGAAGTAGCCTTTTTCATCAACATCAAAATCAGGTTTTTTTATAATTTATAACAACCACCTACATTAAGGATGAGACACATTTGCTATATGGGAGTTTTGTTCTATTTTTTTATATATAGCATATCTAGCCTATTAATTCTATTTTAAGTTTATTCATCAGATGATGTTGGAAACCTTTTTTTATTTGTTTTTAAAATATAATTGGTAATTAACATTAAACCTGTCCTATTAAAATAACATTAAACCTGTCCTATTAAAATAAACTAAATTTAAGAATATGTTGTTAGGTTACTGGTTTAGTTTATTATATTTACTTGTTATTTATGTTAAATCTTTGCAAATAATGAGCCACACTGCTAGTTTATTTATTTTTATGGTTTACTTAAAAGTCAAAAAAATAATTTCAACTTAAAATACTGAGCTCTTAATAAAACATTGTTTATTTTATAATTATTTCTAGAAATTGGAATCTCTTCCAAATGATATGCTGACCTATGAATCATGGATTATAATTGAACAATTTTTAAACGAATCTCTTGCAGTGGATTTTTCTAACAAGTAATAAAGTATTTAATGTCTTTATTATTATTATTATTATTGTTATTATTATTATTATTATTATTGTTAATATTGTTATTATTATTAATATTAATTTAAATTATTGTTACAAAGACACCCCTAGCAATAAATCTTTGTTTTTGATATAATCAAATAATTATCTTAAATTTATTGACTTTTAAATTTTGGATATTTTGTCTATAAAAACTAGCCAGGATTTTTTTTTTTTTTTTTGAGGGGGGGAAATGGGATGTTTAAGTATTTTTGTATTTTGTACCACTTTTGCATCTCCTTTAAAAAAAAAAAGGTCCTCATTTTCTAAGATATTTTAGGACTTTCAGATTCCGGTGGGGGAGGGGGATGCACACACCTAATGGCACCCACCCCCCACCTCTTATTCCTGGATTTGTCACTGAAAACGAAATACTATATACACATTAGTGTTTAGTTACATTTGCTAAAAAAGCATAAAAAATTAAGATAAACAAAAATGTTGTCAAGTAATGCTTTTACTATTTGATTGTTGATGCAATCATTATTTTATTATTTATTTTTAATCTTGATTAAAAAAGTATGAAAAAATTTAATATTATAGTTTTTTGAAATAATTTGTAATGGCAAATACCACACCAAAATCATGTGTTGTCAATGATTTAAGTCTGCTTACAAATTTGAAAAACTGCAATACAAAACCCAATCTAAATACAAACTTTAGAAGCAATTTTTTATTGAAATTAATAGCAATGGTATCATGACTTATAAACAAGTTATACAAACACTTTGATTCAAGCAGTAAATAAGAAATTATAAAAAATTATTCTAAATAATATGCTTTTGAATTTAAGTTTCTCAATTTTCATCTTTTAGAAAAATCTTTGCATCTTTAAAAACAAAACATTTTCAGAATTTGTGCCCTATATCAGAAATCATAAGATATAATATTTTTATTGAACAAGGATTTATTAATGGAGCATCTATTATTAATATTGTTATTACTTTTTTTATTATCATTACATGCATTATATTTGTTTTTTTATTATCAGTAGCGAAGATTGCTTAGTTAATAATTGCAATGAGACTTTGTATACTCTTCCATGTTGCGGAGCTGTTCATAATGAATGCATGCATAAAATTTTTTATAAAATGTTGGCATGTCCGAAATGTAACAATAAATATAATGATAAAGATATCTTTCAAGAAAGTTTAGAAAGAAGGTACTTTTTTAATTTTTATTTAGGTATTTTATTTTTAATTTTTTAATTTTTAAGTTGAAACTTTTAAATGATGTTTACATATATAAAATTTACACATAAATAGTAATACATAAATTCATACAGTATTTATCATACAGTAGATATAAACAGGGGTTAAAATAAAACAGAGGATATAATAAACTAGTTAGCAGGGGGTCAATAATAAACTAGTTAATAGGGGGTCAAATACATTTGATCAAATACAAGTTCAAATACAAATATATTTAATTGGCATTTTCCAAATACAAATACATGTATAAATATTTATATTTTATATTAGAAAAAAATATAAAGATTTTTTTAAGACTGATAAAATTGTTTACTAAAGAAAACAAATTTTAAATTTATTTTAGTGTTAAAAATGAAAAATAATAACAAACTTTGTGGTGTTTCCCAAGAAAACTTTTTCAGAATACATTTCAATTAAATCCAAATCCAAATATTTTAGAAATTTTTTAATCAAATACAATATGAATACAAATACATCAAAAAACCTAATTTTACCAAATATATAAATACAAGTTTAAATACAAATACGTATTTGACTCCAACCCTGATAGACCTTTATTCTTTTTTATCTAATTAATTATTGAACTTTTTACCAAACTTTTGATTTTTAATTATGTAGCAGAGAATCTTTTTCTAACTAAAAATTGTATAAAATTTTCATAAAAAATAAATATTTGATTAAGTACAGATTTAATGATTTGATCAAAATTTCTGCAAAATGTTTGTATTTGTAGTTTGCATGAAAACATGCGATTTGCCTTAGATACAAAATCAATTTAACTGTTTTCAATCAAAGTTTGATCTGATTTTGTGATAAGTTTGTTGTTGCAATGTGTGATTATCAAATATTTTTATCAAAATGAACCACAAGTGGCTCATTTTAGTCAAAAAACGATTTCTATCACAACCCTTGCAATCTGGAACATCGACTTAAACTTTTTGCTATATTTTCTGATTTAACTTATCAAACCAAATATTCAGTTTAACACTGCATTGACAAATCCTTCACTTTGTTTCTACTCAAGTCAAAGAAGTAAAATTGTTCAGTAGCAATGCTACTTTTGTTTTTAAACACTATTTAAAAGCAAAAACATTATGGCTGCAATGTTTATGTTTGAAAAAAAAATTTAAGTAAAAATTTTAGAGATCAAGTCAGCGTCAAATCGAAAGTATCAAAACCACATTTTTTATTTTTTAATGTTTAGAAAGATAACTTTGTTTCCATGCTATTTTCGCCAGAGTATAATTGAAGTTTATTACAAAATAATAAATTTTTTTTAATTGTGATTTTAATTTTTTTTTGTCACTATTTATTTGCGTCATTAATAGTTTTTTTTTTGTAAAATAAATTTTTGTGAAAATCAAAATTTCATTATTTGTGGGTTTTTTTTTATGATTGCTTCATTGCCAAATTAATAAAAACAGCAATAAAATTTAATTAGTCTAGCAAGAAGTTAGGTTTAAAAAAAAATTTTGTTTGAATTTGTATGCTGATTAAAAAAAACACTTTTTTCCGTGTTGCATCACTGAACTCCTGTTTATTGAGTTCAGTGATGTAATGCGGTAGTGGTGTAGTGGTAGAGCGCTCGCTTTATAAACAAGTGGTTCCGAGTTCAATCCCCACCACGTCCCTAGTAGTACCACGCTCATCAAGGTTCGTGTTTCGGAGTTATAGAGTTGAGAGAGGGTTATAGCCACAAAATAAGTAGCCTCCTTGTCTGTAGTGGCCTTCTCGGCCTTGAGGAAGTGAAGTATAATAAAAAAAAAATTAAAAAAAAATGCGTTTGAGGAGAAATTAATGTTGGCATTTTCTAGAATTGGTTTGCAAAATTTTGTTTTTGCAATGCGTCATTTAAAGATCTGAAGCACTCAAGCAGACTATTAATATTTGATAAAGATTAGCTAGAGACGCTGGTTAAAAATAATTCAGCATCTTGCAACTCCAGAAATAGCAAAGACGATTAGTGTCTCAAAAATGCTTCTCAAAAAACTATGGTGAACAGTTTTTGTAGATTAGGATACATCCGTTGTTATGGTATATGAATGTCACATGAACTAAGTGAATGAATCAAAATGGATTAAATATATCTACAGTTTACTGCTCAAAAACAATAATGTCATCCCATTTTTAAAGCATATGATGATGAGTGATGCAAAGTGGTTTGTTCATGATTTAAATCTAAAAGATTGTATTGATGGGTCAATACAATCTTTTAGACAAACAAGATGGGTCCCCGCAAACTACGCAAAAGCAAAATATTCATACCCAAACAGTTATGCTTTGTAAATTGACTAATTGTTATAGAGTCATATATTATCATAGTTCATCAAAAGAACACTTGACCTAAAATGTCTTTGACAACTTGCAAAATATTTTTAGAGTTTGGGCGAGACTTTTTACCTCACCTGCCCTATTCACCTGATCTGGCACCACCAGATTAACATTTGTTTCGGTCCCTTTAAAATTTGTTTCTTTGCATGCTTGAAAAATGGACCTTCAGCAGTTTTTTGTTCCGAAAACTGCAAAATTTTGGGCAGAAGAAATTACCAAAGAAATGGTCAAAGGTACTCAATCAAAACAATGCTTATATTATTTAGAAATAAAAATTATTACTATAAAAATTGGTCTTTGAACTTTACCTAAATATTTAAAATTGTTTTTTACTCCAATATTAATTAAAATGTTATATACATTTTATAATCTACTATTGTCAATTGTTCTAATTCTACTACATGCATGATGAAAAAAAAAAAAAAAGTTGTTTCAAATTCTAACTAACTTCTAAAATTCTTCTAAACAGTTCAATCAGTGGTTTTAAATGGTTGTAATTGTTTCAATCATGTTATAATTGTTTTAAATGGTTGTAATCATTACATCATTGCAATCATTTAAATGGTTGTAATCATTACATCATTGCATACATTTAAATGATTATAATTATTTAAATGATTGTAATTGTTACATGATTGTAATTGTTTAAATGGTTGTAATTGTTACATCATTGCAATCATTTAAATGGTTGTAATCATTACATCATTGTATTTATTTTAATGATTGTAATTATTTAAATAATTATAATTGTTACATCATTGTGATCATTTAAATGGTTGTAATCATTATACGTTAATCTTATTGTTTCATGTTAGAATCTACTATTAAAATTCAATAATTCTAAAAATATAAATTGTTTTAAAGATTGTATTTTATATAAAATAACTGATAATTATGAACACACAACCTTTTTCTTTTTTTTCAGCCCTGCATATATATGTGTAGGTGTGCATTTGTGTTAAAAACTTTCATTTCCAGAAAAAAAAAAGTGAGCGAAAAATTATTTTTCTTAATTTTTTAAATTTAGACATTTGGTTTTTGAAAAACGCGAGTTCAAGAAGCGATGTGTTTCTTTTTATGCTGAAATTGTTACTGAGTTTTGCTTTTCAAGAAAAGATTTTGATAAAGTAAACACAGAAGTCATTAACAATATTTTAAAATATGTTTTTTCTACTAATACCACAAAGGTATTTTCACCAATACTTGATTATGCACTTGATCCAACACCTGTCATTCGCTCATTTTTACTACAACAACTTCTCCAAAGGTGTTTTTATTATTTTACTTTTAATGAGATTAGTTTTTTTTATGTAATTTTGTTGTTAACTAATAATTACTGTATTTAGAGTTGAATAACTGTAGTTAGATTAATAAAGTATTCCATTTTCAAGTCTATTGATTGAAAAAGAAAACAAAGAAAGAAATCAATTATTATCTTTTAATATTTCTCAAGTGAGGATATTAACAATAGACATTAGATGATAATAAATAATTTCAGCAAATAAAAAAATTCAAATAGTTGCAAAACAATGTTTCTATATATAGAAAAATAATAAAACATTAAAATAAAGTAAAATATTAATTTTTTTGCAAAAAAGTGAAGAAATAATTTTTATAACTTTATGTTTTTATAACCTATTATTTTAATT